ACAAATAAGATAATTTAATAATAAAATGTAGCGTTTAAAATGTTAAATTTACAAAATAAGCTTTTACATATAAATTACATATAAATGAAAAATTGAAATAACTTTTTAATTAATAACTTAATTTAAATAATACTAATTTACATATATGAAATACCCTTATGCATTTATGTTTTTAAAACCTTGGAATTTATAACATTTTATTTTAATTTTATATAATAAAAAATGCATTGTACTGTATAATACACTGTGTAAGTTGTCCATATTAGCTTAAGTAGTTATATTACATAATATATAATGTTATGTTGTAAAAGCCGGGATTTTTCCGATTTAAACGCGGGTTATTTTATTTTGATAGTTAATATATTAAAAAAATTACGTTTTAAATAATAAATGTTATAAAACGGATACATTTTATTAGCGAACACTAACATTTAGTATACTACTGTTTTATAACGTAAATTCAAACGTATGTAATTATAAAATATACGCATACCATATATTGTGCAAAAGCCTGCCTTTCAGGCTGTTAAATGATACTTATCTCATTCTTACATAATTTTTATTCGATTTTTAAACGCGTTGTGAAAATAGTGAGTTTTTGCCTGTTTGTATGGGGATCTAGGTGGCCGTCTGGGGGGGTGGCCGACAGGGGGTACTTTGACTTAATATCTAAGGCTCGCAATAAGCTAATCTCAATTTGCACCCTAGTCTACCCACTAGCCGACTGCATCTATCGAGCTTTATTCTTTAAACCCCAGAGTCACTCGGTCTACTATTTCCGACCCAAAACACCTTACTCTAAAACAGGTAACTTACACCTGTATCGTAATCGTAACACCGCGCAGCGGATAGCGAATTATTATTTTTTTTTTAAAAAAAAAAAAGCCTGACGTGGGATGCGCCATATGCAGTATGGAATTCAAGGCCACGGGCGGAAAAGGCAGGCTGGCAATGCTGGCCCGCGAAACTGCTTTACCTCCCTTGTCCCTGCACCCGAGCCATTTTGCGATGCTCGGTTTTCTTGCGTCGTCGAATCTCCGCCTGGTTCGCCGGTCGAAGTGCGACCCCGTGAACAGTCATGACATGGTTCTGGAAGTGATCTAATGTCTTTAGTTTCACGTTTTTACATTTGGGGTGCTTGCAGCTGATGGGATGGCCGCTGCCCTGGGCGAATTTGCGTGCTTCAAGGTGCTGGTCATCGAAGTGGTCGTTTCGGACAGTCGGACGGCAGAACATGAATGTCCGTTCCGCCGTCGAAAGCCGGCCGTCGCCGATGCAGTCGGGGCACTGGTTCGGATCCATTAGGAGCGGGAAAGAATCGGGTTCGGGCGAAAGATCCGGCGATTTTTGCTTGATGGGAGGTTCGATTTGCCTTCGCTGTCGGATGTGGTCGCGCCGACGGGTTTCTCGCTTGTTACAAAGAGACACCATCAGATCGATGGCTTCAATGCGGTGGCGCAAGATCTCGTCGTCAGACCAGTTGTCAGGCTGGTCACACCAGATTTCGGCAAGCCGTGCGCGTTCGGGGATGTTAAGCTCCACCTTGGGCTCTTCATACTCCTCCTCCACCTCTCCCCGTGCTTGCCTCTCGATGTCCCAGGTCGGCCGGTGGTAGAAGTAATACTCGCGATATTGTCTCACAACCCTATCCTCGCGCTGCGCCCGCTTGCGCTTAATCTCCTCGGTAAGCACACGAACCGCTTTTTCGTTCTCCCGGCCGTGAATACGATACTGTCCCCGCTTGAGCGCTGCTCGTTGCTTTTCCAATTCGACGATTTCGGGGTCTGGGAGCAGGTTCGCCCACACCTCGGCTGGCACCATGTCACGTTTCGCCCGACGGTCGCGGGTGATGCTAACGTGCGCAAACAGTTTGTACAGCTCATTTTCCGTCTCTTCTTCGAGGAAGGTGTTCTGCAAATCGAATTTAACCTTTTCGTTAAGGTAGGCACCGTGAAAAGTGGAAAACTTGGGATCGTGGCGCATCATCTGGTCTCGGACGACGTCCGGAGCGTTCCCTGGATTCGAGTTAGCGGTTTCCCTTGGCCAAATTACCTAAGCTCTTGGTCGACTCCTTTTAGGTTGGCCATACCGTTCGCAGCGTTCGCGGCTCCTCTGCGGAAGAACTTCGGTGTCCAGCAAACCTCGAATCCCGCATCTAGGCTCTGTCGGGCCAAATCATCTCTAAGCTTGGCATAGAGCATGGCCTCGGTGCCGGAGAGGACTCCGTTGCAGCCGAAGCGACGGAAAACGGGGATTTTGAGCATGCACTGCTTCCACCGCAGAGGCATGCACTCCATGGACCCCGAGATGTTCGTGCCAAGCACTTGCGAAGCGTTTGTCAAGCTCCGCGCGTCGAAAGCGTGGTCATGTAGCGCGAGCGCGATGATTATGCTGACGGGACAGAAAATCAGTTTCCTGGTGGGCGTGAAGTAGAAGATGGTCCTGCGATGGTTAGAATGATGAGATTGCATGGATCGCGTGCGGTGGGCGTAAAACTTACGGTTTTGGTCTATTGTCCGAGCCCTTGTGATGGACAAACTTAATGGCCATCGCGGGGGTTGCCAGGCGCGTTATCGGATGGCGGACGATCATCAAAGAAATGTCCTCGTAGCAGAGAGCCTTCGGCCGGTTCCGTCCCTTGGTTTCCGCAGACAGCAGCTCGTCTACCCGCCGGGACTCTTTGTCAGGCGTAGCATCGTCCGACTCATCACACCTTCCTTCGCTTTCTCCCTGGTCGGCGCTGGACGAAAGGACGACTTTGGAGCCGAAGAGCTCCTTCACGACCTTGGGTTTCGGTCTCTCGTTGTGGACAAGCTCGGCGGGCCTGGCCCCGGTATAGCATTGGATCACATAGCAACCCGCGAGGTTGATGCGATGCCGTTCGCCGGGGAAGATGCCCGTGTCGTAAGCGACGTTGAACGTCAGGATAACGCGCAGCTCGGCCACGCTGACGACTGGCTTGCCGTGGATATTGGGGGCCCGAAGGCTGAAGCTAGGGATCAAGACTTGACGATGGTACTGGACGCAGTGTGTTAGCGCTGGCTGGATACGTGGGGGTTAGGCGTAGAGGGAAGCATTCGCAGTACCTTATAAACTTCCCTTGCGTTATTTCGGTCCATAAAACGGCCCGTGATCACGGTGTATAGCTGCTGGAACTGGCGGATATACACGTGCGTCGTACCCCATGATTTGATGGTGTAGTTCCCGCAGACGAAAAGGAAAAAATCCTTTGTCATCTCTGGTCGCAAGCTTTTCAAAATCTCCTCCGGATCGCCCACGTTTTTCTCTTTGCAGTACCTTGCCCTGGGAGTCAGCGGGGCAATATTCTAGCTAAGGTCGTGCAACATACCGTTTCCATTTTTTAAAAATGCCAGCGACGTTGATCTGGCTTGCTTCAGCCAAGACGGGCTTGACGAAGGCGCGTTCCAATCGCTTTCGGTTCGCTGCATGCTCCTCGGCGGACAGCGGCGCCGGTCGCCTGTCGACTCCTCTGCGTGCCTCTCCCTCCGAAAATTGCGCAAGAAAGTGGGCATGGTTATCAAGGGGGCCGCTGGCACCGGGTCGGCGAACGGCAACGGTCGCAGGCTGCGGCATGGGAATGGTTCCGTTGTTGCGTGTGCGACTTTATCGTGGGGGGGGTGGGGGGACGGCGATTGTATGAGCGGACTATTTGACGGATGAGGCATGGAAGACCGACGAAGGCCAGCGAAGGCCGACGAGGGCGTTGCCGCCATTTATGGCGAAAGGCAGCCATGATTTCCTGTCGGTTCGTCGTTCAGAAAGTCGAAAATGCCTTGGTCAGTGGGAACCGCCAAGTCCCAAAAGTTGGACACTTCTAGGGTCGTGAGGAGTGGGTGCTGATTGGCCACCGCCAGGGTTCTGGCCGAGCCCCTGGTTCAGGCCGTCGAAGTACTCAATACCTGGCGGGGTACCTCCTTGGTCCAAGCGTCCCTGACTGCACCTGCCGCCGAAAACAGTGCCAGAACCCGCCGAATTTAACGGCCCCAGCAGCGACTTCTCTATTTTATGAGTAAATATAGCTTAAAACGCAAAAACGGTAATTGGTTTTTTATTATTTAACATAAGCGGCGCTTTTAATACCGTATTGCATGTACGTTTTTTTAACGAAATAAAAAAATACCAATTTTTACAATAAATTTTGGATTTTTTTAAAAGCTTTTTAAGCGATTGGGAAATAATACTTTTTTTTAACGGCAAAAATACGGCAAAAAATAAAATTCCATGCGGCGTTTCGCAAAGGTTCCCGATATTACTTATCCTTTTTATTATTTATATAGCAAATTTGTACAAAAAGTTACGGAAAGTAAAAAGGGTTGCAATTACGGGATTTGCAAATAATACCAATTTAATTAACTTCGATTGCAACGCGATAAACGCAATTAATAAATTTAAAACCGCTTATAACGTATGTTTGGAATAAGCAAAAAAATTTGGAACAAAATTTAACCCAGCCAAATATTAATTAATTTGGTTAATAAAAAGGAAAAAACCCGCGCCAACGTTACCTTTCCGTTTCGAAAAGGTTACGGTAAAACCAAAAATAACAAAAAAAGCAATGCAAATATTAAGCTTTTAAATTAATTCCAAATTAAATTGGATTTAATATATCCAAAAAATGCGCGAAAAAATGGCGACCCAAATGCTATTTATTACGCGCTTAGCAACGACAACGTAAGGACTTACGTTTACCAAAACCAAATACTTGTATTTGGCCGTAATTAAAGCAGCATTAAACTACGCGGCCCCGGTTTACTATAAATTTAACGCCACCCCGTTGCGGCTTAAAAAAATAGCTAAAGCGTAAGCAAAAACGCAAAATAATTGTTTAAAAATAATAATAAAGGCTTACAAAAAAACTTTATAAAAATTGCTAAAATTAAAAACGCATGTAGCCCCGATCCAAATATAGCTAAATGGTTGCGTTGCTCATTTCGAAAAAAAGTTAAAAAAAAGCGGTTTAGCGGAAAAAATTGCAAATATTTGCAAAAAAGTGCAACGGAAATTAAAAAATAAAAAGCAAAAATTTACGGTTGCAATTGCGCGGTTATTCCGTTAACGGGAAAAAGCGCTAAATTAAATTGGAAAATCGGATTCGGAAATAGCGGTGCTGGAAAAATAAAAAAAAGGTAGCATAACCACGTTACGGTAATTAAAAAAAGCGTTAAAATTAACAAAGGGCAATTTAACAAAAAAATTTTAAACTTTTACCGCAACCTTTACAAAACCCAAAATTTGCTATTGGTTTAGCTAAAAACGGAAAGGTTAAAATTCCGGGGTTATTTAGCTTTCCAGAAAGTTTTCGGCGTGGCCGTAACGTATTAATACGGTTAAAACCCGGAAACGGTAATATACGTATTGCTACATTGCCCAAATTTGCAAAAACAAAAAAAAAACTTTTTTAAATAATAAAAAAAGCGGCAAAATTTTTGCTAAACCAACCAAACGAAGCAACAATCGTTACAAAATGGTTTATAAAAATAAAACGGCTTTTTAGCTACGCTTTATTAAGCGATATTATTAATACGTAAGCGGAAAGAGCGGAAAAAAAAGGAAAAAATAAAAAAACGTTAAACGCCGCAACGAAACGGCGAATTCGGAAAAAAAATAAAAAGCTTAACCGCTTTAATTCCAAAAAGCTAAACCTATATTAAATTTCGTCGAAAAAACTTTCCAACAATTTTATTAATTATTAATAATACCATATACCAATAAGCAAAATAACGCAACCTTTTATTTTAACGCTAAAAAGCAAAAACTTATTTACGCCCGTAAAAGCGAATCGCCGCAAATTATTTTTAATATTTCAAATATAAAAAATTTAAACCGCCGGGTATATAACGCTTAAACGGTTATATTATCGCTTTTATCCTTAAAACCGAAATTGGATTTGTTGGGGTTGCGGGAAAGCGCTTGGGAAAAGGAAAGGAATGCAACAGCGGCTGCCTTTTTAATTGCTACCCCGGGCGCCGCTAACACCTTTTTTACCGCCCCCGTCGCCGCTGTAGCAACCCCGGCTAAACCCGCAACTTTACCCTAACCAAATTTGTTAATAAACTAAAAACCAGCCGCATCGTTTTCCTTTTTAAATTTAACCGCGGAATTACCAATTACCGAAAAAAAATTATCCGTTATTTTACTATTTTTACCGTTACCGTTGCTATTACCAATTTGCAAAAAATCGGCGGGGGTAACCTTTTCGAAATATTTATTATAATAATTAAAAAATTCGGTAACGTTATTGTAAAATTGGGCGTAAATATTTTAACGAAATTAAACGTTTCGCGTATAAATTTTAACGCAATTTATTAACGTAAAATCGTTAAACCCGTTACGTTTAGCTTGGAAATAATTAAAAACGATATCGAATACAAAAAACATTTTAATAAAAATGTTAATAATAATAATGTTACGGTAAGCTTCGATTTCGGGGTTTTCCGCAAAATAACGGAAAGGTTTTACCGGGGCCGGGGTATCGTTCGGGAAATACGCTTTGCAAACGGCTTTAAATTTAGCGTAAGCGCAGCGCTTGTATTAAGGAAGCCAAATTTCCCAATCTTATCCAGGGTATTAGCGACGCACCGGGGACGTAAAGGATACGATAAAGCAAAAAAAAAATTTACAACTTTTACTTTACCCGTAAAGTTAAACGCTTAAACGTAATGCTTTTTGCGGTTTGTAAAGCTATTATTGGTATTAAAAGCAAAACTTACGGATTTAAGCTTTTCCGCGGCGTTAAATATACGTTAACCCAATTCCGAAACGCCCTTTTTTAGCGCAAAAATGCATTGTCCGTCCTTGCTAACCTTTTTTTTCGAATAGCAATATATACATTTCTTTAATTTGGAATTTAAACCGAAGCAACCTATTAGCAAAATATCCGGAAAAATAAAATTAAAAAATATAACGAAAAAAATTTATTAAAATTTTGCATGCAAACCTTGTTAAAATTAATTTTGCGGGCTATTATAATTAAACGTTAAATGGGCTGCAAAGTAACGGAAGCCAGGAAGGAAAGATTTACAACGGTTATTGTTGTTGCTGTTTTGCAATTGCTAGTAATGTTTTTTGGTGGGATTGCGTAAGGGATTAAAAAGAAAAAAGGCGGAAAAAGCCGCAATATATTAACCTATTTGCTAAGGTTAACAAAAAAGGAAAAAATAACGGGAAAGCTTTAAATTGGTACGGAAACGTGCATTTAACAATGCAACCTAAATGCAACAAACGAACCAACTTCCAACCGGACCACGATACTTCGTTTTAAATAACAATAACTTTTTTTTTACCGAACGTTTAAAAGTGCGGAAAATACCTTACAAACAATTACTTACAAAAACGACGCGGAATAGAAAATACTTCGAAGGGAAGGAGTTTTTACCCGGTTTTACACCAAATAGCTGTTGGCTGGAAGCACGGTTTTTACCTTTAAATAGCTACCCCGATCCGTGGTGCTCCCCATGGGCTATACAGCTCGAAAAGGGTAAATAAATTATATATATATATATATATACATTTTTGTTTTATTTTTTTGCAGCTTAAATATAAAGGAAATAAATAAAATAAAAAATTAAATATGTATAAAAATAGGTTAAGTATTATATAATAGCAATTACTTTTTAATATATATTGTGGGGCGCTGGTATTCCTTGCGCAATTTGGCGTTGAATTTTTTTTTGGAAAATCGAGCGGTACTTTTGTCCCCCGGGTGTAGCGACGATTTGGGACACCTCAGGTGCTATATCAGAAGCCCGCAGCCCTTCTTTGTAGTCCGTGGAGTTCGCCCTGTTGTTTCCCCATCAATTCCATTCTTATTCTCTCGATCAGCCAGGATTTATGTAACCACTGCCTATTCGTATCAGCTAGCACGACTTCAGCAGCCGGACTAGATCGATCCTTTGTGCTTGCGCTTGCAACAGCATGTCTCTTCCAACAGTGCTTTTGTCAAACTAAGGACAGTGGCGCTGGCGGTCATCAGGTATGCACAGCTTTTTTTGTAAAACCAGTCTAGCATCCAGTTTCCGGGACTCGTTAGCTATCCTAAATCTGCTTTTCACCAACCTTGAGAGCACTATTCCCTTTTCTAAACTAGTTCTTGTTCTCCAAGGTTAGCTCTACATTATGGAAAGAGCAACTTATGATACAATAATAAAGAAAGAAACGCCAAGTTCGTTATCTCCATTTTTCTACGCAAAGGGCAGCTTGCCAGCGTATTATTTTCACCCGGAGCTGACTGCTGTCATCTAGAAATTTCCACATGGACGCTGCCTCTCAATAAACCTTGGACCGCGGCAAGCGTAGATATGACAGCTTCCCGGAATGATGGCTTCAAAAGAGTAGGCGGCATTTCAATGTAGCCAGGTAGAGACGGCAGAAGCATCTTCACTTAGAGAGGCCTAGACTCGCCCAAAACCCACGAGTTCGCTGTCGAGCCTCGTCTACGGACACTCACGCCGCTTGCAGTCAAGACCGGACGTGCCAAAGGGAACTGGGCCGCGGGTGGTAAAAGGCCCACTGCAGGAGGCCATCGCATCTACCGCACCTGTTGGGGTGCCTGGACTACGTGCACCGGGCTGGGCTTTTACATGGGCGGCTATGTCCGCAACAAAATCTGACGCCACTTACCCCTGTAATGGGGTATACGACAACGCCGGGCTGGCGATATACAACATATCGGACGACCCGTGGACCTACCATAAGGGCGCCGGGTTCGACAGCGGGAATTATGCGGGGACCTACGTCGCCCTCCCACTTATGCTAAAAAGCCAGGGCAATCGCCAGGCCTACAGGGGGAGTTTAATTTGGCGCCTACAACCATAGGCAAATTACGGCCACATACCGTGTGATTGATCTCAACCGGGGGGGGGG